AAGCAGCTGTGTTTTACAGGCGCATACAGGACATATGATACATCTATGATTATTCACACGGGTATACATGGCCTCTATGTATATGCATGTGCTCTACATACACATGTATACAAACAGTATAGACATCAATATACACATGCGAATGCACATACTGTAAATGCAAATCCATCCACCCATCCAACCACTTTATCCAGTACAGGGTCAGAGGGGAGCCAGAGCCTATCCCAGCAAGCCACAGGCTCAAGGCAGGGTGCACCGTGGACAGGACACCAGGCCATCGCAGGGCAAACTGACTCGGGGACGACTTTCCCTGTAACCAATCAACCCACACAATGATCTTTTGACTGCAGGAGGAGCCTGGAGAACCCATGATGAATATGCAATCTCCACACAGCTAGCTCCCCAGGTCTGGAATTGAACCCAGGACCCCAACACTGTGAGGCAACAATCCTAACCACTATTTCACTCAGTACGTCTACATGTACTGTACATGGGAGCAAGTTGGTACATGGTTTATTCTATGCTGAAAAGAGAAGATAGAAAACGCAGCATTGTGTTTCTCCACAGCAGAAATGCTGTTTCTTTTCTTCTCTTTTCAGTGCGGAATAAATGCATTACTTGTTCCTATACATAATCGTATACATATACATAAGTAGCTCAGGTGGGTGGATGCGTCAGCATGCGCAGGCTGCAAAGGAAGAAGTAATAGGTTTATTCCATGCTGAAAAGAGAAGAAAGAAAACCATGTTTTCACAACAGGCTCCACGGCCGAAACGTTGTGTTTTATTTCATCTCTTTTCAGCATGGAATAAGCCTATTACTTGTTCCTTTACACATACATATACATGTCACGGGTGTCTATAAATTCGTGGGGGAAAAAATGCCATTCAAAAAATGAAAGTAGCGAAAGCAATTAGTGAGGGAAGATAGTACAGGGCAGGTGGCCATTCCACATTCACGACACTCTCGTTTACCCTGAGGTTGTGAATTAGTTAAATCTGAATTCCTCAATCACACCCTCTGATCGTTAGGGTTAATTGTCATTTTCCTGCGCACAGTCACAGCGATACCTGCGCTATTACGAGACGTCATTTTCATTTCGGGCCGTACAGCGAGTAACCAGCTGATGTGGTCGGACATTCACAGCGGGTGTCGCTCAGGACTCACCCTGCTTTGAGATGTCCAGTATTTCTGATTTCTCAGATGTTACTCCGGTTTTCCAAGTGCTCTGAGAACTGGACTCGGAATAGGACAAGTGTTTTGCTGTAAAGCAAGAGAGAACTTGTCAGTGAGTGCGTCTTATCTTTGATACTAACAGTACTAACACTAATACTAATAATTACCTTTGATTTTATGTATCGGCACACCGAGCGAGTTTCAGAACAGCGCGTCAAAACTAAATTAAAAAACAATATATATAGATCAGCAAAGCTGAACCAAGACAAATCTCCACCCTTGGGAAAAAACAAGAGTTGTTGTTTTTTTTAAGTGAATGCTTTCCATCTCCAACGTCTTTGCTCAGAAAGACTCTGGCTCCAGAGTGGCTGTTCTGAATGTTCTTTTAAACTGGGGGGACACGAATCGAATCGGGAGCCGGGGTATCTAGTTCTGCCGATTCAAAAGACGTTTCTTTCCTCCTCGTCAGTTGTCGCTGATTTTTTTTTTGCTTGTTGCTCGGAGCGTGGTACTGTAGCTCACCAGATTGGTTCGCCTGCGTAGAATTCCTCGACACCCCCCGCCATTTAATACAACGGTAGCGTTGCCACCTTGTAGCCTCATCGTGCCAACAAACACACACACACACACCAGGGCCAGGTTTCCCAGAACCCAATTAACCTACTCTAGTCTTTGGATAGTGGGACGAAACCAATCAATCAATCATCAATCAATCAATCAATCAAAGTGAACTCGGAGGGGGGCGGGAAACATACAAACTCCACACAGACAGTACCCCAGATCAGCGATGAGCCCTGCCCGCCCACGCTGGGGGGAGGCAGCAACGTCAACACCAGAGAGAACTTGCGCAGGGTGAAGCTCAGAACAGGAACTGAGTGTGTGATTGTTTCCTGTTGGGGCGTCAGAAAGCAGGAAGGCAGCTCGCTTTTACAGGAAGTAGCAGAGATTACTGCCTCTGCCACTACCCCTTCTAACCATAGGAAGAAGAGGTTCAAGAGCACAGGTGAGGACAGCACGGTTGACAATTCCGACTGATAGGGACCGAGTTGATGAGGGCGGGCTGCGCAGTGACGCTGGGGGTGCCCAGACGTCAGAGCCCAGGTCCAGGGGGTCACTGTGGTCCGGGGAAGACCCTCCTAACAAAGCTGGGTACGCCATTACTCCATTACCCAATGTCCTGGCTTACACCACAAGCACCTCAGATCAGTTAATGGACAGAAACAAGTCGCGAAGTCTGTGAAATGGAATGGGTAACACACTGAGTAAGGAATCAGAATGAGTGTTTTAAAGATAGACGGGAGAAAATTAGAAGGGGTAGCATTCTGTGACGTGCTGTTTTATGTGATGTAATGAAAGGTAGAGGTAATTATTGTTCTGTGTAATTGTTATTTTCTGAAGGTGAATGAAGTTTAATCATTCGAAAATAAAGGGTATTCATACTCCAAGAAATACAGCTATGAAATAATCCACAAATGTATAACTATATTTTTCAGGCGTATTTATTATGTATTATTATACACAAGAATAGGGGTGAAGGGGGAGCTGTCGTTTGTGGGTATATGTTTCCTGTTCTATAACACTATTATTTATTATATAAATGAGAATTATGGAAAAAAATTGGATGGCAATAAAAAACAAGAGAGATCAATAATTCAATCATAATTCACTTTATCATTACTCAGTAGCGGGCAGCACGGTAGCTCAGTGGTGGAAGAGGGATGTGTGAGGCGAAGTCAGCCTCAGAATTAACAGCATAGCGCTAGTGGGGGTGCGGGACCCCAGCTTCTTCCAGGAAACAGCTGGATGAGATCCTCCGGTCAGGACAGGAGGCTCTTCTTTACACAGAGGGTGGTGGGGGTGGGGAACAAGCTGCCCAGCCATGTTGGTAAAGCCGATACCCCGGCTTCTCTCCAGACACAGCTGGATGAGATCCTCCGGTCAGGACAGGAGGCTCTTCTTTACACAGAGGGTGGTGGGGGTGGGGAATAAGCTGCCCAGCCCTGTTGGTAAAGCCGATACCCCGGCTTCTCTCCAGACACAGCTGGATGAGATCCTCCGGTCAGGACAGGAGGCTCTTCTTTACACAGAGGGTGGTGGGAGTGTGGAACAAGCAGCCTTTTTTTCAAGAAATAGCCGGGTGAGCGCAGTATATAAAAACAAGAGTTTTGAGTGTGGTGTAAGATGCAAACCAATTAAGTAAAACCCATTCTCAAGAAGAAGGTTTTGAGCCTGGATTTGAAAGTGCGTAGGGAAGGTGACTCTCTGATATCCTTGGGGATAGAATTTCTTTGGATCTGGGGAACAACAAGAGAATGCCCGCGAACCCAAAGTACGTTTAGACTGTCATTCCAACAGTATTTGAAAAAGCAGTTTTATTGTCTTTAGCATTTGCACTCCTTACCGAACAAGATGGACCACAGCTCTCCTGATCCTTTGTTTACTTTGACTTTTCCTCTTAGCGCTAAACGGAAAAACGCCCGCTTCGGTCTCCCGTACGTCATGGACAAAAGCAGCGAAAAAATGTGTCTGTCTCGGGTCCAACTGAAAGTCTCTGACACAGAGACGACACCACAGGTGCTTCTCTGACTGGGACTCACTGCTGCACTGTGGCGATGGATGAATCCAGTAATATACCAGCACTTGACAAGACGTACAATATTCCTTCACACTTTGGACAGATTCTTTGTTTAGATCCTTCTCACTGCCTCTTCCAGTTCAGGATCGTGGTGGAGCCAGAGCCTGTTTCAGTAACAGCCGCAAGGTAGGGTACATCCTGGACAGGATGCAAGTCCATCACAGGACACACACAGACATACACTCACACCAGGGCCAATTTTCCCAGAAGCCAATTAACCCACAGAAACAGGTGGAGAACATGCAGACTCCACACAGACAGCACCCCGGGTCCGGAATTGAACCCAAGGCCCCAGCGCTGCATGGCATCATTGCTAACCGTGCCGTCCTTCTTTGATTGGATCACTAAATAATTTTGTTTTTTTCATTGTAGGACATCAGGGGAAAAAAAACAGGGGCATTAATTGTGATTTTCCAAAAAGTCACAAGAATGAAAACCGTTTCTTATTTTTCTCGCACAGCGCAGCTCCTGATCCTACAGTTTGTTTTGCCTTAGTTTGTTTGCTTTCCATCTTATTATACAGACGTCATAGTGTCAATAAAACAACCTTTGACCGATCTCGGGACAGAGACTAAATTTCCCTACGGTACGATAATGGGCAGTATTTCTCTGCATAAACTCAGAACGTCTCACGTTCAAGATCAGAGTGTTTGTGCCATATGTCACAAGTACAGCCTTGTTCTCACAGTGTGCAGACAGGTGAAGACGTGTATGGTGCAGTACACTGTCCAGTATATACCGTAAAAACAAAGTCCAATTTCCAATATACAACAGTAAATGACAGCCTGCTGTTTGCAGTACAAAAACCACAACATTCAGTCATCAGTGGTGATGACGAGTGGTTCATCGGTCAATTTGCATTTGGCTCTTAGTTTTCCATGACACTTATGATAGTTGTGATATCCAGTACCTATCATGATAGCTATGGAAATAAAAACTGCTTCTGAACGTTTACTGTTTTCAGGTGTTATGTGCGGGCTGGCTTCATCACATCCCCCACACAGACTGCGCTCTGGAGAGAACTCCCCCACAGGAGAGAAAGTATATATAATGGTAAAGAACATTTTCCATTTGTAGTCAGGGAACAACTAAAGACTTTAAATTGACTGCGTAGGAACATAAACCGGCTATATGCACAAACACATAAAGGTCACATGAGTAAGCCTCAAAATGTATGAGCATCCTGGCTGGAAACCTCCCTCTTTTGTGTCACATGAAACACCTGGTACAAAAAGCCACAGCCTTTTCAGGAACCTGTCATTCTGCATCTGAACGGGAGAGAAGACACTGCGGCTCACTGGAGAGAAGCCCCACAGCTGACCTGCAGGAACAAGGCAAGACTCTGTCCGCTCTCTTGAGCTCGGGCTGACCCTGACTCCTCTTGCTTCTCTACCATCGCCTTCACTTACAGCTGTGCTTCTGCACACTCAGCTTTTACAGCAGATATGTGCGTTTACTCGTAATCTATCTGACTTTGTATAGTTCAGGTGGGGAGCTGCGTCAGTATGCGTAGGGCTGCAAAGGAACAAGTCATGGGTTTATTCCATGCTGAAAAAAAGAAGAAAGAAAACACAACGTTTCGGTTGTGGAGCCTTCTTCTGGTGTGAGGTCACACCTCACACGCTCACTCTTTCTTCTCTTTTCAGCGGGAATTTATATATACATGCAAAATATATATGCAGGTGCATATTTACTTGTAAGGTGTATAATGTGTGAATGCTGTGAGAATGCTGACCAAGCTCACAGCCATCATGAACAATGCCTCTCATCCGCTTCATGGGACTGTTACTGGGCAGCGGAGCGCTTTTGGCGACAGGCTGCTCCAGCTCCGGTGTTCAAGGGAACGTTTCCGCACGTCTTTCCTCCCGGCGGCTGTCAGGGTGTATAACGCTGCACTAGGCTAGGACTACTCGCCCTTCATCTGCTCGTCTATGGACAGCATGTTGCTCCATTGTACTTTTTGGACAATCAGTTTGTTTAAACCTATGCACATTTTGAACATTTTTTATTGTTATTGCACATATTGTGTGTTTTATAACTATTCTGATGTCTGTTTTGCTTGTCTTGGGCTGGACTGCTGTAACACATCAATTTCCCTACGGGATTAATAACGTCTTATCTATCTATCTAATACATATTTATATGAAATGTGTGGAGTTTGCATGTTCTGTCCACGGTTGAGTTGGTCTCCTCCGGGTGCGGCTGTTTTCCTCCCACACTCGAACGGTCTCAGTGGATCGCAGCTCTTGATTGTCCCCTGTGGGTGTGGGTGTGGGTGTGGGTGTCCGCGTGTGCGTTTGTCCTGGGTGTGGCCCACCTCCAGCATATTGACTGAAGGTTAGATCGCGGCTCGCCGCCACCCTGTCCAGGGTTAGACGGTTACGTGTCGGAAAATAAACATAATGGATGTGTCGGGCTGTGGTTCTGTAATTGCTGATGTAGACAGAGGTTTTTCAGCATTAGAAGAAAGCTGGAATCTGACACACCTTCCCACCTTCCCACCTCAAACAATAGCAAAATGGTTACCTACATAATAATATTTTTCAACCAAAGGCTTCTACTCTATATTTATTCTGTATACTTATGAAACGTCATGAAACTGAATGAGTTTCCACTTATCTTCTATGGGGAAAGCCTTAAAGCTTTCAAAAGCCACTCTGATCCAAAGGATTTTCAATGCCCGCACCTTACCTTTGGAGCGGTGTTTTGTAGTGCTGTAATGCTCCAGGCTTTGTGTAATTATACATCACTTCTTTGCAACAGTGCACTATAGGATACCATATGGTCCAGATCTATAGGGTATAACACTGTACTAGGTCCAGGTGGGGCTGCACATTGGTGGTGGAGGGGATCCCCATTACCTGTAAAGCGCTTTGAGTGGAGTGTCCAGAAAAGCGCTATATAAGTGTAAGCAATTATTATGATGATGATTATTATTATTACTATACTATAGGGTTGGGCCTTTTCATTCAGGATTATCCTTTAAATGACCAGTGGAATTTAGCCATCGAGTCAATCTTGATACGTTCCTGGTGGATTTCTTTGGGATTCTGCTGTAGATGAACTACCGTGACTATGTCTGTGCACGTGGAACGATCCTATTCCTCTCCTCCTCCAGATGGATCAAAGACTCAGCGTCGCCCTCCTGCTCCTGGGACTGACGGTTCTTGTGGACGGACAGACTGTGGCAGCTCCGTTCACGGTGAGAGGCCTCCACGCGCTCGCTGTCTCGCGGCCGTCGACAGGCAGAGCGGTCGTGAGACACAGTCTATTTCAGCAATAATAATTATAATAATAATTACTATAGCCAGCAGCTCTATCACCCTGCAGTTCACAGCTGGCAGCCCCACCCAGCAGATGTGTGTCTGGTCAGTACCTGGATGGGAGACTCCTGGGAAAGCTAATCACCCGGTATAGTGGCAGGGCCACTATACAACAGGGGGCGCTGTCTTTCAGATGAGATGTTAAACCAATGTCCTGACTCTCTGTGGTCATTAAAGATCCCCGGGTATTTCTTGAGAAGAGCAGGGAGTTATCCCAGGGTCCGGACCAAATTTCCCTCCTCGGCCTTTACTGCGGCCTCCAGATTGTCCCCATGTCTGACTGGCTTGCACTTGCCCTGCGATGGACTGGCACCCATCCAGGATGTGCCCTGCCTTGCGCTTGTTGCTTGCTGGGCAGGCTCTGGCTTCCCTCAACACCGTATGGTATAAAGCGATTTGGCAGATGACATGACAATCATAAGTATTATTATGCTCCATTACTCTCACCGCACACCAGCTCTCAGTGGGAAGGGGAGCAGAGTGATGAAGCCAGTTCAGAGAGGGGGGTTATTAGGAGGCCATGACTGGTAAAGACCAGGGGGAATTTTGGCCAGGAGACCAGGGTTACACCCCTACACTTTTCGAGAGACACCCTGGCATTTTCAATGACTAGGGTGAGTCAGGACAGGGTGAGCACCCACTACTGGCCTCACTAACACCTCTTCCAACAGCAACCTTCCCAGAAGTCTCCCATCCAGGTACTGACCAGGCTCACACCTGCTTAGCTTCAGTGGGGCTCCCAGCTGTGAGTTGTGGCCGCTGATATATTTATTCTTTATTCCTGTCTCACTCTCCACAGGGAAACATCACCTGGAATGGCTGTGGAACTACTAAATTCTGCATTGGCGCTCCCACAGGCTGCGACCCGGCCTCCAGTGGAGACTGTGTCTTTGCGTCCACCGCCAGAGACCCAGTGGACAGCAGCGGTGTCTCTTTTGAGCTCCAGGGCACGTCCAGCGGCTACATCGCCATCATCTTGGCTACAGGAGGTGTGAGCTCGGTACGTGTGTCCAGAGCTGACCCGTCAGCCATCTTTGCCAAGCGAGAGAACGCGGGCCTTTGGCCCTGTGTGGTTTTTGCGATGACACGGCTGTAACGGGGCTCACCAGGATGGTGTTAACGTTGGAGCGAGGACTGAGACGGATTCTTTGCCTCATAAGAACACTTTACCAGCCATATACAATTTCTTGCATTAGGAATTTGTCTTTTCTCAGACCCCAGCTTGCTCTCCATGAGACACAAAGACAGGGAGAGAAGCTTAGGGTCAGAGCACAGGGGCAGCCATTTATACAGCACTCCTGGAGCAGCTTGGGGTGAAGCCATCATGGGATTTGAACCAGCAACCTTCTAGTCACAGACACAGCTCCTTAGCCACAGAGCCACCACACCACACCACCCGGCTATGGTCCTATCAAGTGATGATCAGCTCGGAAAAAAAGTCGGCTGTGCCACAGTCACGCTCATTTGCCCAGAACGTCATTCATTCCTATCCCGTCTCTCATCATCGCCCAACCCCAGGGCCCACAGATATTCTCTGTGCATTTCGGGATTTTAACATTACCCACCAATAATTGACTGCTACAAAACAAAGCAGAACTGTGGCATTAATGCATACTTCCGCTCATACTTCCCCACTGAACAATACATTTATTTTACTGGCAACTGAACCTGCCTATACTATCTCCCACGTACAGTAGATTAACATCCCTGTAAAGCAGGTGATCCATGTTTGCTAAGAATCTTCTGACAGAATCCGATAGCATCTGATAGTTACTTGGTCGTACAGTAACTAATAATAATTGCTTACACTTATACAGCACTTTTCTGGACACTCCACTCAAAGTGCTTTCCAGGTAATGGGGAATCCCACTACCACCACCAAATCTGCAGCCCCACTTGGATGATACAACAGCAGCCAAACTGCGGCAGTCTGCTCACCACACATCAGCTAGCAGTGAGGAGGAGAATGGAGTGATGAAGCCATGCTCATAGATGGGGATTATTAGGAGACGCTAAACACTGTTCCACACCATCTTGAGCAGCTCCACCCCTCTGGATTCTGTGTTTAGCGTGTCTGATATATATGTATCATCCCTATTGAGAAACACCAACTAACTGGAACAATGCAAGTTCAATGCAGGACTACCCAGCGTGCAGCCACTCCAATCCACTCTATCACAGAATTTTGCTGTGAGCAGATCCTCCATTATTTAATTAATAATGTAAACAGGATCAATCTTGGAACTTAGGCAATGTGTGTCTCAAAGTACTACAACGAAAAGAGAAGGATCTGGCCTCTTCCAGAACGCATCTAGCATGGAAAGGTACAGTAACACTGAAGATTTTAGTCCGAGATATAGGCTTGCCTGTCAAGATGTCATAAAAACTGGTTAAACACTACCACTACCACTATCATATTTTTAAGTTATGGTTTAAAATCCACATTTGTTTTACACGTTTAGCTCCTTGATGCGGTCACTGAAACAATCACTGATTGCTTCACTCAGTGACGAAGACGCTCACAATACAGACACTTCATACAAAACGCCCGGTGAGCCAGGGGAATTTATTCTGCAGCTGTCTGAACAGGAGGTACGGAGAGCTTTCGGAAAGGTGGAGCCACGCAAGGCTGCCGGCCCCAAAGGCATCCCCCCCTGTGTTTAAAAGGCACATGGAGCACAGCTGGCCCCTGTCTTCACTGTAATATCTAACATGTCACTATCCCTGTCTACTGTCCCACTGTGCTTCAAGAGGACTACTGTCGTGTCCCTGCCTAAAGCAACCAAGGTGTCATGTCAGAATGCCTACCGCCCGGTGGCACTCACCTCAGTAGTCATGAAGTGCATGGAGAAACTGGTGATGGGACACATCAACAGTATTGTCCCAGACTCCCTGGACCCTCTGCAGTTTGCTTATAGGAATAATAGGTCAGTGGCCGATGCTGTCTCACTGGCCCACAGTTATCAGTCTTATCAGCAACAGTGATGAAACCAGCTACAGGAGTGAGGTAGCAGAGCTGGTGGAGTGGTGTCACAACAACAACCTCACACTTCACATCGGCAAAAAACAAAAGAGATTATTGTGGACTTCAGGAAGGCATCACAGACCCATCATCATTCACTGGGCTCTAGTCGAAACTGTCAGCACCTTCAGGTTCCTTCGCCTCCAGATCTCTGAGATGCTAAGCTGGCCAGAGAGCACTGCTGCCATCCTCACTAAAGCCCATCAGCGCCTTCACTTCCTGAGACAGTTAAGGAAGTGGGGGATGAGCAAGACAACACTCACCAATCTTTACCGTAATCCGATTGAGAGTGTCCTACCCGGCGGTATTACGGTGTGGTATGGTGGAGCCACAGGACAGGACAGAAAAGCCATACAGAGGGTTGTGAGGTCTGCCCAGAAAATCACTGGGACCGAGCTACCCTCCATCGACCAGATAGATCTCAACTCTCATGTCTGTTTGTCATTTGTGCCTATTGTTTTCCCTACTGTAACTGAGTACAGCTGAATGAGTTAGTATTCCAATCCACTTGTTGTAAATGGCAAATCAAAAAATCTTGAACCTTGAATCTTGGAAGACTTAGTTCAGCTGGGCATTGCTGGGTTATCAGGAAGACCGTAGACAGGCTTGCTCAGTCCATCACCCGGAAATTGCCTTGTGTCCACAGGGAGACGCCTTTGAATGCACTCAGGGTGGAAATGGAACAGTTTTGTTCCTTCGTGCATACTACAATGGATCCAGCCTGAATCCAGAAAATGTCAGTGTAAGTATCTTTATCTGGTGGGTCTGTACCCACAAAGTGTTTGCGGTGTTGGGGGTTCAGGGGAGCTGGTTTGCGTCAGGTAGAAATGTTGAGACTGGAGGTTGGACTGGAATTATCAGGGAAGCTGTCTGTTCCACTGTCTTCATTATTTTTCTGTCATTGCGTGTCCCGGAACATTTTCCTTTCAACAAAAATACACTATAAAAAGACACATTTGAAAGAAACTAAGTGAACTTTTTCATCTTAAGTAATTTTAAAGGCATTTAAATGTACAGTCAGGATACCTGCAAAAGCCCTGCATTTTGACAAGCAGGTTAAAGCACTCTGTTAAAACTCCCTCTCATTCCAGAACACTGTTTACAACATCACTGGCTCTGCAAAAGACAACATCATTAAGTGCACCTTCATTGTGAAAAATCTCACCACAACAAATGGCACAGCTACAATACTCTATAACATCTCTCTGGCTGTTGGGAATGTCACAAATGGTAATGTTTCTGTGATCGTGTGTCCCTCATGTTACGTGCTTGCTCTGTTTGTAAAGAACATCAATTTCAACGAACAGCAGACAACTCAGCCACTAGACATCATGACATGAATATACTTCCGATCATTCCCAGACAGAAACAGTCAGTGGTTGGGTTAATGAGTTGGGGTAGGTTGGGTTGAGTTGAGATAGGCTGGAGGGG